ATGCATATAAAAAGAAAAACTGAGAAAAATAAGCAGTCAATTGTTAATACCACCTGGTGAGTAAATGGTCAGGTCTGCTTACAAAACTCTGGATTCAGGATAATGAAGGTAACATCAATCAGCTAAGTGACAAACCTTTTACTTGTATTAATTATATATATATAAAATGAGAATGAATAGAATCCAATTCTGACGTTCGTAACATTTAATTTAAAAGAGGGCTCGATATAAAAGTAGAGCAATATTCTTAGGCCATTTCAATTGGTTGATCTGAATAAAAACAAAACAAACCCTGCTAGTATCTCCTGTCTTCTTTCTTACTCTTTTTCTTCCTTTTCTTGAGAAAAGAGGGTGTATCTTATGTCTTTCTTTCGTACTCTTTTTTCTTTTCTGTAAAGAGGGTGGATCTTGTTTTTAAAATCTCAATAAATTGTCTACTCACCAATTATTTACTAATACCTGATATGTTAGTACACTTCGAAACACAATTGCATTTATGTAGCATTTTCACATTTTTGATGTAATATCCTAAAATAAAATGTGTGTGTGTGTGTGTGTGTGTACACACACACACACACACACACATTTATTTTAGGATATTACACACACAAAAGAGAGAGAGAGAAAGTACAAATGGATGGGTAGAATTTACAGTGATGAGAAAAGGAGGTAACTGACCAGGAAAAAATATGGTATTGATTTAAATCTAATCTGAAGCAGATTTTGTGAACTGTAATTGGTAAAAAAAAAAAAAAAAAAAAAAAAAAAAAAAAAAATTTTACATTTAAGATTTGCTTATTTAAATTAAAATTCAAAGTCAACATTTGCAAAGTGTGGCAGTTTCATGCTGCCAGGGGAATTTATATGCATATTTGGGAGTTGATCAATAAATCTACAGTTTAACATGAATTTTGATCTGAAATTTTCACTCACTGATCTTCAATTTATGCACACTACTGAATTAAGTGCACCAACAAGGAAGATAATGAAGCTTAAATAAATAAATCATTTGATCATGTGACTGAAAACTTACTACTGAACACATGGTTGTTAGAACCTGAGTATTCTGACCATGAGAGCCGAGTTTGAATCTTACCCTTATCAATTTGACAAAGGAATAACTTCTAGGTTATATTGATGGTGGGGGAGTGACGATCCCCAGTGTGCAACACTGTTGGGGGGAATACTTGAAAATCATACCATGAGTTGACCCAAGATTTTGGGAATTAAATTGGATAGACAAAACAAAAGCCATAGATTATTGTGACAGCAGAAAGTCATAAGTCAATGTGACTGAGGCTTCAAGAGTACTCTCTTCCAGACACTTGCACAAAACAGTTGCAATATCAACCACTGGTTGGCTTGGTTTGTTTTATGGCATAAGAACCTCAATGGATCATTTAAAGCCGACAACTATTTTTCTTTTTTTTCTGGTAATATTTTTGTTTTGTCAAAAATCTATTTTTGTTAAAATTTTTTTCCTAAAAAATGTATAGCTGGTAATATTTTTTTTCCTAAAAACGTATAGCTGGTAACATTATTTTTTCAAAAACATAGCTGGAAATATTTTTCAAAAACATATTGCTGGTAATAGTTTTTTTCAAAAACATAGCTGGAAATATTTTTCAAAAACATATTGCTGGTAATAGTTTTTTTCAAAAACATTGCTAGTAATATTTTTTTTTCCTTCAAAAATTTATTTCTGGTAATAATTTCTGGTATTAAAGCCTATTTTTACACCTTTATAATGCCTTTTACCTCAGTTTCTGGGGTAACTATTTGCCCATTGCTGGGACCCTAACAGGTTCTACCACCCCAGGGTGGACCTGGGAACATCAGCAATTAAGAGGTGGTTCCACACTCCTCAAAACCTCCTGATCAGAGGACTTGATGCTGGATGTAGTTTATCGTCTTACCCTGGACGCAGATGTAGTTTATTGTCATACCCAGGACACACCACCGGTTGGCTCTGGGGGCATTGAAATAAAACAAATGTGCCTGAGCAGGTGTCTATAACAGGGATTAGATAACCACCCTATCAGAATGGTGTACTTGTAAACAAGCAGCCAAGTACTTTGTGTGTGTGTGTGTGTGTGTTCAGCACTTGGGATTTATTATATCATTCAAATTCCATTTTAGCTACTTCATCATATAATTTATGGCCCACCCATAAGAAGAATGCACTTTCATTTTATGATGATACATCCTCTTATTGTCAAATCAACACACAAAGTACAACATACATGCATGGGTAATACGTTTCTAGATCACCAGAAAAGCCTACTGCCGAGAGATGGGGATGTGTTTCGCTTGTTTTATGGCATATCAACCTCAATGAGCCATTAAACGCGGACAACTTTTTTTTTTTGGTAATATTTTTGTTTTGTCAAAAATCTATTTCTGTTAATATTATTTTTCCAAAAACGTATAGCTGGTAATACTAACAGTTTATCGTCATCGGACGTAGCTTATCGCCATACCCAGGACGCGGACGTAGCTTATCGCCATACCCAGGCCCTTATCGCCATACCCAGGGCGTGGCAGGACGCGGCTATCGCCATACCCAGGGACGGACGTAGCTTATCGCCATACCCAGGACGCCGGACGTAGCTTATCGCCATACCCAGGACGCCGGATTTAGCTTATCGCCATACCCAGGACGCGGACGTAGCTTATCGCCATACCCAGGACGCGGACGTAGCTTATCGCCATACCCAGGACGCGGACGTAGCTTATCGCCATACCCAGGACGCGGGACGCCATACCCAGGACGGACGTAGCTTATCGCCATTATCGCCATACCCAGGACGCGGATTTATTATCGCCGCCATACGTAGTTTATCGCCATACCCAGGACGCGGACGTAGCCTATCGCCATACCCAGGACGCGGACGTAGCCTATCGCCATACCCAGGACGCGGACGTAGCCTATCGCCATACCCAGGACGCGGACGTAGCCTATCGCCATACCCAGGACGCGGACGAAGTATCGCCATACCCAGAGGACGAGCTTATCGCTATACCCAGGACGCGGACGTAGCTTATCGCCATAGGACGCCAGGACGCCGGACGAATCGCCATACCCAGGACGCGACTTATCGCCATACCAGGACGCCGGACAGCTTATCGCCATACTCAGGACCCAGGACGCCGGACGTCAGGACGCGAGTTTCCAGGACGCATCGCCGAGTTTATCGCCATACCCAGGACGCTGGACGAGTGCTATCGCCATACCCAGGAGCTTATCGCCATACCCAGGACGCCGGATTTAGCTTATCGCCATACCCAGGACGCGACGCTTATACCAGGAGCTTATCGCCATACCCAGGACGCTGGACGAAGCTTATCGCCATACCCAGGACGCGGATCGGACGTAGCTTATCGCCATACCCAGGACGCTGGACGTAGCTTATCGCCATACCAGGACGCGGACGAGTTTATCGCCATACCCAGGACGCGGACGTAGCTTATCGCCATACCCAGGACGCGACGTAGCCTTATACCCAGGACGCCGGACGTAGCCTATCGCCATACCCAGGACGTAGCTTATCGCCATACCCAGGAGCGCGGACGTAGCTTATCGCCATACAGGGCCAGGACGCCATACTTCCAGGGACGAGCTTATCGCCATACCCAGGACGCGGGCGGATCGCCATACCCAGGACGCTTATCGCCATCGCCATACCCAGGACGCGGACGTAGTCTCAGTTTGGGGGTTAACTATTTACCCATAGCTGGGACCCTAACAGGTGCTACCACCCTGTGTCAGGGTGCACCAGGGAACACCAGCAATTAGGAGGTGGTTCCATGCTCCTCAAAACCTCCTGATCAGAGGCCTTGCTGTTGGATGTAGTTTATCATCTTACCCGGGACTGCCGAGAGATGGGGATGTGTTTACAAAAGGAATATTGTGTTAAAAGGAACTCTTAAATTGTGACTGACTTCATGGACAAAATAATGATAATAATATATATATTGTGTATTTAGGCAGCAATCCCTCTTTTTTTGCTTGATTCTCTCTCAGCAAAGGGAAATTGTGAAAATGCTTTACTTAGAATCCGACAGTATATAAATTAAACTACCTGCCATCTTCATCATGTATGCACACTGACATCTCAATGGGTCAAAAAAAAAAAATTTGGAAGAGAGCAGTTATAGTTAGGTATAAATTCTCTAAAGATTATGTTTGAAGGACAGTCCTTTCGTTGTTGTTCAAAACAAAGACAAGACAGCCAAATATGTTGTATTTTTTATTTTGTATACATGTCAAACTTGACAGTGTGGCAGACAGAATTGCTTTTCTCTTAAAACCAGAGAGAAAAGAAAAAAAGAAAAGAAATGAAAAAAGAGAATGAAAGAAAAGAAATGAAAAAAGAGAATGTGAGAGAAAAGAAATGAAAAAGAGAAAATATGAGAGAAAAGAAAGAGAAGAGAAAAGAGAGAGGAAAGAAAAAAAGAGAAAAGAAAGAAAGAGTGAAAAAAAAGGTGGGGGGTTATTTCTTACATCACTGAAAGACTTTTTTGGGGGAAATATGTCAATCAAACTTAAAAGCAAATTTTCCAGAACAAAAACTACAGCAAATTTATTTATTTTCTTTTTTTAAGTTCTACCTCATTTGCTTACTTATGTCAAATCAACAGAGAAAAGGTCACTCCAAAAGTAATGCCTTCTATTTCATGATGCTGGCTTACACTACCAGTGACAGATACTGGCAATGGCAAAATTAACAGTTTCCATGTTGGAAACATTCGGCATTCATTAGCCAAACACCCAACATGACTGTTGGCTGAAAATTTTTAATTCTTTCTCCTCTTTTTTTTTTTTTTATATAGAGAGGAATAGGCATTAAAAAAGAAATCCACCATTATTATGCTTTCTAGTATTGACTGAAATTTCTTTCCTAACCTATTGTTTAAATTTGTGTATAAAGTCCGTATCTTGATGTCATTGTTTTCCCTTCTAATTGCATGTGATATCCATTTTAGTTGTTACTGCTGTTAGAAGTCTTCAAGTAATGTGGTTTCTGTTATTTGGTAAAGTTCTTACTGATTCTGTAGCATCAGTCTATGAAATCTGATGATGGATAGTATTCTGGAAGACCCACAGGGTAAATTTGCTTGAGCCTGTTTTTAATCACTGATCTAAGAAAAAAGTTGTTGGTTTGGCAGTAAAGATTGAACTTTACTGTAAACAGCCTGCAAATGTTGTTGCCTTATTGCAGATAGAAGTTTGTCAAAAAAAAAGAAAAAAAAAAAAGAAAAAAAAAGAAGAAAAAAAGAAGAAAAAAAGAAAAAAAAAAAAAAAAAAAAAAAAAAAAAAAAAAAAAAAAAAAAAAAAAAAAAAGAAAAAAAAGAAAAAAGAAAAAAGAAAAAAAAAAAAAAAAAAAAAAAAAAAAAAAAAAAAAAAAAAAAAAAAAAGAAAAAAAAAAAAAAAAAAAAAAAAAAAAAAAAAAAAAAAAAGAAAAAAAAAAAAAAAAAAAAAGAAAAAGAAAAAAAAGAAAAAAAAAAAAAAAAAAAAAAAAAAAAAAAAAAAAAAAAAAAAAAAAAAAAAAAAAAAAAAAAAAAAAAAAAAAAAAAAAAAAAAAAAAAAACAAGGCATATGTTGTTCTGTCGTAACCCTTGTGTCATGTTTTCTAGTTAAAACATTACTCTATGCAAGAGTGTATTGTGTTCTTGTCTTTGTTACTGTTGTTTTAAAGGAAACAAAATACTTCCAGAGCTTTTTCTTATTAAATTTTTGTTATTAAATTATCCCATATCCCTTTTATGAAATAAATATTTAATAACAAAATTTATCCAACAAAAAAATTAGATTAACTGCCACAGTTAAAATCTTTTTATGATACCTTTACGCATTTAGTAAGTTATTTTTAAAAAAATCAAACTGTATAATAATTAAGGTGTATTTATTTATATATTTCCTGTCCCATCTGTAGTTGGAAGGGAAATAAATAAACTTAAGTTAGTAAATTTAAATTACTTCCCTTACTCATTTTAATAACCTATACAAAAAAATATTCATCTACAGGTTGCAATGGGTAAATTATCAACATTTTATATTTTAAATTTTATGCATGCGCATTGTTTTTGTCAACTTCACAGTATAGTAGAGTCAGTTGGGCACCGTCTGTGAGATAAAGAGCACTATGATGCAATTCACTCTGCCTGAAATTTGGAAACGACATACTGTACTGTTTGGCATTTGTACTGAAAACTCCAGTACGAATATTTCAGAGTGTTTGGGTGTTAATTTGAGGATAGCGCAGAGGATTTGGCAAGAGTTATGTTGATTTCATTCTTTAATTGGGAATGTATATTTATTCCTGTATATACAGAAATTGTGTCACAAGGCTGAAAGTGAGGTAAGGCCAATCAACAGTAACTACCCTAGACATAGCTAATCAGATTCACAACCCATTCATTGATTACAATTAACAACGCTATGCAAAACCAGTGCTGAAATTATTAATGATTATATTATTAGGTGGAAAAAAAAAAAAAAAAAATGGCCACTTTATTAGGTTTCTGGGGAAATAATTACTGACGGTTTACTAATCACCATGATCCTAAAAGTCCTCCTTTCCAATTTCAAACCATTTACAACTGTTATTACTCAACAATACAAGTTACTAACATTTAGTGAATTTAATAATAGCTAGGAAAAGGCAAATTTTATATGGCATTTTTTAAAAAAAGCTAAAAAGAACAACCGGTTTCGTCCCAGAACTTATCAAGTTTATTTTTCTGTGAATAAAAAATATAAGAGCGTGTAAATTAAATTAATGAATGGAATGGAAAAAAAAAAAAAAAATGAATTTCAAGAAACTAGAATCCAACAACATTCACACCCAGTAAGCATTCCCTCTGTTTACAAAGGGAAGGCCCATGGGATACGATATACAAGGACTCTAGAACCTTGAGGTGAAATGTGGAGAGGGACCTAGATAAAATCGAAAAACGGTTCGCACTAAAATTAACCACACATTTCCTGCTATTTATTATATGCTCAGCAATAGCAGAGCAAGAAGTATTGGTTAGTTGGCTCTTCCTGGCATCCGTTTTTTTTTTTTTAATGTTTTTAAAAAATGCCATATAAAATTTGCTTTTATCTAGCTATTATTAAATTCTGTACCACAAAAAATTATTTAAATATTTAGGGAATTCAAAGTAGCATTGCAAAGGTTCGAAGAAACTGAAAAGAGGATTCAGGAGAATAACAATAAAATACTGTAATGACTTTCCGAATGCCAAGACCAAAGCCAGAAACTGTTTTACTTGTGGTAAACCTGGATATAAAAGCCCTGATTGCCAAAGCAAATTTTGGAATTATGCAGTAAATAATTTCCCTCCAAAATGCTATAAATTCCAGTCCACTGAACAAAAATAGTATTTGCCATGCTTGTTGCAAATCTGGATATAAAAGTACTGAATGCAGAAACAAAAAGAAATCTCATTTCGTAAAAAATGTGGAAACTATTTCAGATAATTAACATTAATTAATTAATTAATTTCTGTTTTCAATTGAACTAGACACCGTTTCCGACAAAAACAGCTTACTTGTCAACTGTAGTGCTACCACATATGTGATTACTGACAAGTCTAAATTTCTTATTTTTGATAATGATTTTAATCCACAAAATCATCATACTGAACTGGCAGATGGTAGTTGAACCGATAATACCATTTTAAAAAGTGGTGAATCACTATAACTGTCACAGAATGAATGGATGTTCTATACATCCCTACTTTCAAACAAAGTATATTCTCAGTACAAGATGCTATTGAAAAAGAAGCTTCTGTAAAATTTGGTCATAATTACTCAGAACTTATCTATCATAATGGTGTGACATTCAGCATAAAAAGAAATGCGCATCTACATTATTTAAATAATAAAGTAACCTCCAAAACTGCTACATGTAGCCTAAAACATTGGCATCAAATTCTTGGACATTGCAATCTGAAAGACATTATACAGCTACAAGAAATTGTAGAAGGCATGAAAATTGTCAATAAATCAAATTCAAACTGTAAAATATGTATTCAAGGCAAAACGATACAGTGTAAAAACAAGTTACCTGACAAAACGGCAACTAAGATATTATACCTTTGTTCATGGTGATCTCGCTGGCCTAATTGATCAGAGATCTTTGAATGGATTTAAATATAAACTTTGTTTTGTGGATGATTATTCTAGTCTATGGTTTATTTTCTGAAACAAAGAAATATTTGGTTGACATTGTTCCATATGGCTCTATAAAATGCCTAAGTGATAACAGCACAGAATTTATTTCTGAAAATTTTGAAAATCTTTTAATAATCGAATTAAACATGAGAAATTGGGCCCATACTCTGCACACAAAAAAAAAATGGTACTGCAGAATGATGTTGGTGGTCTTTATTCAAAATTGGTAGATATTTATTAATAGAGTCAAAGTTGCCTAAGTTTTTGTAGTCATACGTTATTATGACCGCCACATATATTAGAAATCAGTACTACAGTCAAAGAACTAAAAAAAAAAAAAACTGCCTTTTGATATGTTCACAGGTTGCAAACCTAACCTCACCAATATGTATACATTTGGCACAATTTGTAATGCGTACCTACAAGATAAGAGGAAATTGGACACTAAAAGGTGAAAAAAGCAATTTTCATAGCTTACGATAAATCAAGTCCTGCCTATTTAACATATATAGCTGAAACTAAGAACATCAAGAGAATCAGGTGTCTAAAATTTATCGAAAACTTTGAATGATTCTTTACTTCCATTTGAAGAAAATGATGCAATACTTTTCAACTATCTGCCAAAAATTCCTTGTGGGGAGGGGACATAAGAAAGTGAAACTCGACAATCAACAAGTCCAAGTGATAATATAGGAGATAATCCTAGTGCAAAAATAACCAACATAAGATATCCGAGTAGGTTACGAAAAATGCCTGAATATTTAAAAGATTACATTGTTAAGAATTTTGACAACGTAATAAATCCAACTATAGATTATTGTTGTCTGGTAAATAATATACCCACTAATTACAATGAAGCTATTCAACATAATTTATTTGTCCACCAAATGGACATAAAACTGCATATTTAAATGCGCAGATCGACTGCAAAATACGTGTTCTACAATCCAAGAAGTATTCCATTGCTACATGTCCTGGGTATGATGATAAACTATATCTGAGAGCGAGGCCTCTGATCAGGAGGTTTTGAGAAGCATGGAACCACCTCTTAATTGCTGGTGTTCCCAGGTCCATCCTCACCCAGGGTGGTAGTACCTATTAGGGTTCTAGCTATGGATTAAACCCCAAACTTGGATTAAAACACTATGTAAAAATAAGTTGTTTTTTTTTTTTTATTACCCTCTTTGTGTATATGAAAAAAATAGATTTAAAATAAAATAAAAAAAAAGGCTTGAAATATTAAAAGGTGAAAATAAATAGTTTAAAAAACAAAAAAAATAAAAACACTTGAAATATTAAAAAATATTTTTTATGTATGCAAATTATATGTAAATATTTGTATGCATTTTTGTTTATAGATAGAAGTCCACAAATGCATGCTGGGATATTTTTTAGTCAATAAAATAAGTTGGTTTACATTTTGACAAGAAGACAGCCACTGCGTTCGCGTGTTTGACCTTGTTTTTTGTGTAGATACCAATTTGTAATTTGTAAAATTTTTGCCTTTTTACCTGTGAATTTACTTTGCAAATATTGTTTGCTTGCTTGCTTGTTATTTCATTTTTGCCCTTTTTTTTTTTTATTGCAAACTTTCTTAATTCTGTTTGTTGGACAGTTCTGTTATTTCTTTTGCATTTGACAATACCAACTTACTCTACAGGTAAACAACTTCTAGTGTAGCCTATACTATGTTTAATTTCCTTATCAGCATCTTTAAATAAAGATCTATGAAAATGAACTCTAGTAAGTCTGATATGAGCATTCTACTAAGGTTTATTCACTCAAAGCCATGTTGATCTGAGAACGTGGTTGTATATGGCTGACACTTTATTCTGAACAAGTTTGATGCCATGCATGACATCCACATGAAAGTTTTGATCTCACAAAGTTATTAACAAACATGACTATCTAGTTTTTCATCTAATGTTTTGGTATTCTAGTAATTCGTGGTGTTGGGCAGTGTTGATTTCAATCCAATAGGAAATGACTGCATAACACTTGCCCCTCCCCTTTTACAGGCAGAAGTACACAAATGCATGCTGGGATTTTTTTCTTAGCCAATAGGCCGGTTTGGAGTTTGTCATGACTCAGTCCAGATCTGCCTTATAAGATAGACCACTACGTTCACTTGTATGACTTTGCTTTTGTGTGTAGAGACCAATTCGTAGCTAGTAAACTTTTTGCCTTCTTACCTGCTTTGCATACATTGCTTGCTTGATGTTATTTCATTTTTGCCCTTTTTTCTTTTTATTGCAAACTTTGTTAATTCTGTTCTGTTATTTCTTTTTGCATTTGACCATGGCTACTAACTCATCAAGTTGAATGATATGTCCAGTCAACATCATGGAGGCCTACATCAAGTAGCTTGTGGAGGTAGTGCTGTGCTGGGTCAAGAGGGTGGCTGCTGGAAAACCCTATGTCTATGCATCAGGACTTTGCACAATGCCACATAAGCAGAACCCAGTCATGGCTGTCAATTTCTGCAATCACATCATGCCTTACTAATGGCCACCTAATTCCTCAGACTGCAACTCCCTTGATTATTATGTCTGGGGTGCAGTTGATCAAGAGACCAATGAAACTACTTGTAACACAAAAGATAAACTGAAGGCAAGATTTATAGCAGCATTCACCAACTTAAAGGAGAAGAGTTGCATGAGATTCTGAAGTCATATGGAGGCTGATTGAGTTCAACAATGATTTTACTGAATAAATTAATGCTTTAGTAATTCATGATTTTTTGTGTAATTTTGGTAATTCTACCTGTTAAAATGAGATGTCAGTGTTATTTTTATTTTTGTGTAATTTATATGATAATTTATCTATCACACTCTGTACATTTAGACAAAATTTGTTCCCGAGCAAAATTATCTCTTCCTTTACTCCCTATGTTGCAAAATTATCATTTAGACAAAATTATCTGTTCCTTTACTCCTATGTTTCGAGCAAATTATCTCTCCTTTACCCTATGAGCAAAATTATCTCTTCCTTTACTCCTATGTTCCAAAATTATCTCCCTTTCCTCCTAGAGCAAAATTATCTCTCCTTTACTCCTATGTTAGTTCTAAAGCAAAATTATCTCTCCCTTTCTCCTATGTTCCCCAAAATTATCTCTCCCTTTACTCCTATGTTCCCGAGCAAAATTATCTCTCCCTTTACTCCTATGTTCCCGAGCAAAATTATCTCTCCCTTTACTCCTATGTTCCCGAGCAAAATTATCTCTCCCTTTACTCCTATGTTCCCGAGCAAAATTATCTCTCCCTTTACTCCTATGTTCCCGAGCAAAATTATCTCTCCCTTTACTCCTATGTTTCCGAGCAAAATTATCTCCCTTTCCCTATGTTCCGAGCAAATTATCTCTCCTTTACTCCTATGTTCCCGAGCAAAATTATCTCTCCCTTTACTCCTATGTTCCTGAGCAAAATTATCTCTCCTTTACTCCTATGTTCCCGAAAGCAAAATTATCTCTCCCTTTACTCCTATGTTCCCGAGCAAAATTATCTCTCCCTTTACTCCTATGTTCCCGAAAGCAAAAATCTCCTTTTCCTATGTTCCTCCAAATTATCTCATTTTCCCTATGTTCCCGTTAAAATTATCTCTCCCTTTACTCCCTATGTTCCCAGCAAAATTATCTCTCCCTTTACTCCTGTTCCCGAGCAAAATTATCCCTTTACTCCTATGTTGAGCAAAATTATCTCTCCCTTTCTCCCTATGTTCCCGAGCAAAATTATCTCTTCCTATGTTCCCGAGCAAAATTATCTCTTCCTTTACTCCTATGTTCCCGAGCAAAATTATCTCTTCCTTTACTCCTATGTTCCCGAGCAAAATTATCTCTTCCTTTACTCCTATGTTCGAAAATTATCTCTTCCTTTACTCCTATGTTCCCGAGCAAAATTATCTCTTCCTTTACTCCTATGTTCCCGAGCAAAATTATCTCTTCCTTTACTCCTATGTTCCCGAGCAAAATTATCTCTTCCTTTACTCCTATGTTCCCCAAAATTATCTCTTCCTTTACTCCTATGAGCAAAATTATCTCTTCCTTTACTCCCCAAAATTATCCTTTCTCCCTATGAGCAAAATTATCTCTTCCTTTACTCCCTATGTTCCGAGCAAAATTATCTTCCCCAAAATTATCTCTTCTTTCTCCCTATGTGTAAGCAAAATTATCTCTTCTCCTATTTTTAAAAATTATCTCTTCCTTTACTCCTATGTTCCCGAGCAAAATTATCTCTTCCTTTACTCCTATGTTCCTGAGCAAAATTATCTCTCCTTTACTCCTATGTTCCCGAGCAAAATTATCTCCTTTCATGTTCCCGAGCAAAATTATCTCCTTTACTCCCTATGTTCCCGAGCAAAATTATCTCTCCCTTTACTCCTATGTTCCCGAGCAAAATTATCTCACCCTTTACTCCCTATGTTCCCGAGCAAAATTATCTCTTCCTTTACTCCCTATGGGAGCAAAATCTCTCCCTTTATATGTTCCCGAGCAAAATTATCTCTTCCTATGTCCCTATGTTCCCGAGCAAAATTATCTCTTCCTTTACTCCTATGTTCACCAAAATTATCTCTTCCTTTACTCCTATGTTCACCAAAATTATCTCTCCCTTTACTCCTATGTTTCTTAGATTGCAGTCTTATTTGTTCAAGCTTTTCATGTGAAGCACTCAGTTACATTTTTCTATAAAGTGATAGACTTTCTTGTCACAACCTATCTTTCTCTATCTAATCATCCAAGAGATAATTTGATTTCACTGTTATATTAAACACAAATTTTTAACATGAAAAGATACCGAGCAAAGAAGCAATTTATATAATACCAGAAGTAATCAATGAATCATCACTATCATTGAATGTCAAAAAATATAAAGGGAATGGATTAATTAAATGCTTTATTGGTGACTATTTTAGTTATGAATTTTTTATCTCTGCTTTATTGAATCCCAATACATTGCTTCAAAAGTTTTCATTGCATCTCACTATCAAAATTTTCTAACAATTGCCGTCATTTTTGCTAGCATAGGTAAACTAGTATACAAATAAAACATTAAAATTAAAAAAGAAATCAATTTTTATGAAAGAGCAATCAGTCTGAAACAGAGTAACAGAATTATTTCTTTTTTTTTTTTTTTTTGGATGAGATAAATTGATCAAATAAAACTGACAAGAACACACAAGAAGCTGCTGAAAAATTATAAACTTACTTTCCAAAAATGATCAAACCTTTTTGGTGGTGTTGTGGAAACCATTTTTTTTTGGGGGGGGGCTTCTTGATTAAGTAGAGAACATTTCATCACTCCATGAAAGTATAAGTTTGCTTTACTCAGAGACAGCAAGGTAACCCGACTGTGAGTGGGTTTCATTGATTGATTGATTCATTCATTCATTTTTGTTTTTACAGTTTAACAACCTTTAGCAGGTTATTTAAAGCCAGAAAATATTTTTAGATTGCAAGAAAGTTTTTGAAGAAAATAATGATTTACTAATACAAGTTCTATTAGTTAACCCATGGAGGAGAGAAAAGGTGGATTCATACTTTTCCCAAGGGTATTTGCACATAAGTTAATATAATGAACCTGACTGGAATTGAAACTTGGCTCTCCAATTTCCAATTGCGAACCGTTATCCATAACTCCACCTCATATTCCCAAGTGGTCACTTATTTACAGACAAATATGAGTGGGAGTTGTGGGTGAGGAATAAATGAAAAATTAAATTAGTAGACTAAAAGAGGTACATGACCGAAACTGTTGGACATCTGTCTGTATACAGAAATGAAAATATGTTTTTCCATCAATATCTTAGTTTGGAAGCAATTGATATATTTCTGACAGAAGTGCCTGAAGAAATAACTTTGATAAAAATAAAGCAAGAAAAAAGCCCAGCAGGCTTTATAGTCATTACCAAGATAGAATTAAAAACAAAAAATAGAAAATAGGACATAAAAAGCTCGTAAATTTTAAAGTGAATTAAGGTAGGTTGATATTTTTTATAGTAGAGCCACTTTCTTGGTAATCACAACACCTGAGAAGACTGAAAAGTATGCAGACTTTGGCAGATCAAGCAGTGGCTTGTTTTTTCTATTGATAATTTATTTCCAATCTACTTGGTTTGCCTGAAAAGATTCCCATTATTACTAGTTTTATTAGTAAATATGGACAAATTTATTAAGTAAAAGGCATTTTGGGATCTGTAATAGAATAATTTAAAACCTTCTTTATGTGCCATGTCTCTTCAGGACATGAACAATTATGGCCCTCCACAATTTCCTATCCTTTGCAGTGCTTAATAAATGAGATCATCTCTCTTAAACCTTGTTCCACCATCCATTTACTCAAGCTCATTAGTTATATCACGCAATTGTTTATCTCTGTCCCTCTTGCCTTCCATCTGTCCCTGTGAATATCAGATTTTCTAAGCCCTCTTTTCTAATTATGTGCTCTAGAAATTTCCATTGCCTCTTCCTGATGTAAAGTATGCTTCCTTTTTGTTTCAATTTTCTCTAAAACTTTGCTGCTGCTCACATATTCACTTCATGATATCCTCAGCATCCTTCTGTGGAACCACATTTCTGTTATTTCAGGTTTCTTCATCTTTGAGCAGATTTTCTAGCATTCACTGTCATATAGGAGGACAGATATCACATAACAGTTTAGTTTTGTTTTCTTTGTTTCTAACAATTTTTCTGTCAATATTCTGCTTAGCTTTTGAAAGCCATCTTTTATCCTAATGTGCTTTTGAATTTCAATGCCACACTTTCCATCCTCTGTTAAAAATATTTCCCAGATATTTAAATTTTTATACTTGTTTGATTTTCTGATTTGTAATCTGTATTTTGGGCTCATCCTTTTGTTAACAACCGTGCATTCTGTCTTCTTCAATTTGATAGTTAGTCCTTTCTTCTTGCTTTCCTTAACTACCTTCTGTAGGAATTTTATGTATTTCTTTCCATATTTGGATTCAACACCGTGTCATCTGCATATCGTATGTTGCTAAGATTGTGGCCATCAATAAGGAATCCTGATTGGACTAATTCTCTCAGAATTGCCTCACTGTATAAGTTGAATAAGTCTGGTGAGAGGACATCTCCTTGTTTTACACCCCTTTCTATTTTTGTATATCTGCTGAATTCATTTTTTTCTATCTGTATGCAGATGGTTTCCTGTTAGCATACATTCTGGATTATTCTAATATCCTTCTCAAATATCCAAGGTTGCTAAGCAGCTAAACATAAATCTTCTAGTTTATAAAATGCTTTATGTGAAATAAAGCATTTTTTTTAATGCAGCATTTCATCTATTGCTTCACTGTAAAGGGTGAAGAGGTCTGGCGCAAAGACGTTCTTGGGCTTACATTTCATGAATTTATTTTCAATCTATGTGCAGACAGTTTGCTCCCAGTGTAAATTCTGGATAATTCTAATAACCTTCAAATTATTTGGAAGTTAAAATAAAAAAAATAAAATAAAAAAGTAATTGTGGCTGGCAGAGATGTTTTATTATTTAAGCCAATCAAAATTGTGGTTAGTGTAGTGGGGGGAGGTGAAATGATGACTGGTTTTCCTGTTATTTTACCAAAAAACAAGCAGAGTCTTGTGATCAAAAATTACTAAAAAGGACAAAGCCTACGACAATGGGAAAAACCAAACAAAAAAGCAAACAAGAAAAACTTGAGATTTTCAGTGTTTGCCTTTTGACAGCAGAATGACAACATAAATCTTAAGTAGAAAAAAAAAATTCTTTTTGCTTTGGACAATAATGCTTTAGTTCTGAGAAGACATTTTAATCAGTTCAAGCACAGATAAGAACTTTTGGCATATTAACATGTACAGGAGTCATGGTAACTAGATTTTATTTATTTTTGCACAAGGATCTTATTTGTTATTTTTTTTTTTTTTGTTTAAAAAAAAAAAAAAAAAAAGAAAAGAAAAAAAAAAAAAAAAAAAAAAAAAACAGCCATTTCAATGGCAAAAGTTTAGAAGAATGGTCCCTGCCAAGACCTACAGGTTTCATTTACTGGAAATCATTTTTAGCCATTGATCTGAGAAAGCTGTTGCATCCAGTTTAGATATTTCTGTTCAAGTTGGATGCCAGGTAGGGCATCTATATGAAAGTCTCAATCTGACGAGGCTATTTTAGAACATGACTTTCAGGTTAATGTCTTGATTTTGTATCAGTTTTAACAATTCATTAAGATTCCAGCAAAAGGCTTCTAGACTGAGCATTCGATGCATTTGCAGGGATCTGGCATTCTCAGATAGTGACAGAGCCATAAAAGTTTACCCTTAATGTGTGATATTGTTTTAGATTGGTTTTAATCAGGTTTCTTTTAGTTCTACTAGTTCAGACCTTTACAGCGAGGATCCACAAGTGTACACAGGGCTGAAACATCCTCATTTCCTCCATATTGTTGTTATAATGAGAATGTTTCAACCATTGTGTATTCTGGCCATCTTCAGCTGTCCATCGATCTGGATAACATTCAGGGAATAACCAAGCAGTACTAAAAAACAAGACAAGAGATCCATAGGTAGTGCAATAAAACAATCTAACTCTGTAGGTTAAATAAAGCTTTCAGTTCAAAACTCCCAAGAGTTACCTGGATTGGTAGGCACCTGAAGAAGACTAGAGGGCACAACGGCTGAAACGTGATAATGATGAAGACAATAATCCAAATGTAAATAATGATAACTACACATTCTAGAAATTCAAGTAGATGTTTTACTCGATTTTGAATATTTTACAAGCAAAAAGGATATTCAATGATTTTAGATTTAGTTTAGCATTTCAAATGGTTCATCATTTAGACTTCTTCAGGTGACATGTTTATCTTATTGATCAGTTTTACTTTGACAATCTTGTCAGTGTCAACAGCTGATGATGTCTTAGTTCATTGTTGACCTGCTTCGAACTCTGCATAAATATCTTATCTACTTTTTCGCTTTTTTGTGGCTTCATGTCTGCTCGTATTAACTCATTCCAGAAACTGCACACTATTTCTTTTTGTCTACTTTGTATAAAAGCTTA